AGAGAGAAACAGAAAGAGAAAGAGCGAGAGAGAGAGAGAGAGAGAGAGGAGAGGAGAGAGAGAGAGGGAGAGAGGGAGAGAGAGAGCGAGAGATAGGTAGAAAGCGAGAGAGCTTGAAGAATTCGCGGTTTGCGCTCGCCCGTCCTCAATCGGCCCGAAATTGGGGATAGATAGGTTGTTGCCTATTGCTGATTGTCCCCCCGCCCAGCCGCTTAGCAATTGAGAACATGGTTTTTCTGTGTGCGCCTTTTATTTGGCGGGGTGTGCACATAGTAGCGTGGTGGAAAATGGGGTAAAAAATACACAAAAAGCGGAATCTGGTCCGAATAGACGCAAAACCAACTGATGGGAAATCGCCTAAATATTTGTTTTCGATCATTTTAAGGGGGCTGGCAGGCTATAGAATCCACACCTGCAGCCAACTAGGTCTCGACAACTACTCGAAAAGTCAAAACACATAGGCTAGAGCATCACCTTTGTCAACACGTCATCCTATAGGAAAACCCTAGAAACAATCTGACTGGCGTAATTTGGCGTAAATGTAGATGTCGAGACCTAGTGGATAAAGCGGGTCGATTCTCGGTCATGTCAACTACTTTAAAACATAGAAATGGCGTATTTCCCGTGAATCGTAGCTGTCGAGACCTAGGCAACGTAAGGGGTCGATTATCGGCCTTCGCGCACCTTTAAAACATAGAAATTTATCGCATCTAACATGAGCCCCCTCGTAGCGGTGTAGCGTACCTGTCGAGACCTAGGCCCCACTAGGGGTCGATAATTGGCTTACTAGTCCCCTTAAAACGTAAAATGTTAACATATCTGGAAGCAGCTTCCATTTGGGAAAAGCCGCGCAGTCGTAACGCAGAGGCAACGATGCATCTAGGGTGCCAGGTTAAAACGTAAAGTCCGGTCATAAATTTCATTTTCAGGACATGCCGCCCCTGGCGATACCTGCAAGAAGACCGAGTTCAAGTGCCATGACGGCCAACAGTGCGTCCCCTCATCCTTCCACTGCGACGGCACTAACGACTGCCGCGACGGATCCGACGAGGTTCGATGCGCCAAAGGACCCAGAGGGCCCAGAGGCGCTGGACAACTGGCGGCCCCCTGGCCCATACCGGGGCCACCAGGCCGCCTATGGCCAAAGGGCCAACAACCCGCCTATGACCAGTACGGGCGCTATGTGGGCCAAAAACCGGGCCACTACCAGCCCCCGGCGGGCCCCCGCCACGACGTACAGTACCCGGGCCAACAGTTGCCGGTTCGTTAGCCCACCCCACACCTGCACAGCACCACCACCACTTTACGCCTACCCGATTTTTAGTTCCGCAACTTTCCGCAGTGACGCCGGGGGTTAAAGGGATTGGCAAGGCACGGTTATGGATTTTCTTGAAGCTGAATCGATTACATAATGCAGATATTTGCCAGTGTTTCTCGAAAGATTCCATAGCCCAGCCTTGCTGGCCCCTTTAATCCAATATTTTTGATGTTCTTCGCTGAATTCTCGGGGAAGCTGTGCTGGTGGTAGTGTGGGTGTGAGGGTGGGGGATTCTAGGGAATTCCGAGATGGTGCTGATTACGCGTACCGCATTGCGCCGTACTGTAGCGTACAGTACACGTCATTAGTAGCACCCGGAAATACCTTGAGTCCCACCGCAAAATCTCTAGGAACTAACCAGCTGCTGCTGTTGGCCCAGGTAGCTGTACCGGTCCGGTAACAATGTTTCGCAAAATGCTTTCATTCATCATCACAAATTTTTGCTGGAACATCGAAATCGATATTCTAAAGAGACTGGGAAGTTAGGGAGAGAGAGAGAGAGAGAGAGAGAGAGAGCGAAAGAGAGAGATAGTGCGAAAGCTAGAAAGTTATATCATCGAGTTCCATTCGCGATGCCGAATTTTGCTATGCCGATTGACGCTGTGCCGATTTCCGCTATGCCGAATTTTCACTATACCGAGGTTTCACTATGCCGAATTTTCGCCATGCCGAATTTCACTATGCCGAATTTTCACTATGCCGAATTTTCACGATGCCGAATTTTCACCATGCCGATTTTCACGATACCGAATTTTCACCATGCCGAATCTTCGCCATACTAATTTTGATAAGCGGTCTGTTCCCCATTTTTTTTACTGTTTTTTTTCCAAATATCATGGGCCTAGAAAGTTAGAGTTAGCCTAGACATTTCCAAAAACTCGGGCAGATCGTAGGTCCCGTAGGCGCAGCAGATTTTTTTGTTGCACCGCTAAGTCCCAGTCGATCTTAGTTATTAACATTAGTAGAGACTATTAGTAGTAGAGTAGAAAAAATTCGGCATAGCGAAATTCGGTATAGCGAAAATTCGGTATAGTGAAAATTCGGTATAGCGAAATTCGGCATAGTGAAAATTCGGCATCGTGAAAATTCGGCATAGTGAAAATTCGGCATAGTGAAATTCGGCATAGCGAAAATTCGGCATACCAATAATCGGCACACTGTAAATCGGCACAGCGAAAATCGGCACAGCAAGTATTTACCATATCATCTGACCTACGCATCTACCGGATGTATAGCGATTGAAAGAGCGAGAGAGAGAGAGAGAGAGACAGAGAGAGAGAACTAGACAGGCTTCCCGGTCCCTTTAAAGCCTCCAAAACCGTATCTAACTCCAAATTTTTTAGATTGGTTGCGTCCAGCCGACCGTTGTTGAACCCCCAGAGCCCCGTCTCCACGTTCAACGGGGCGCCACCTTCGAGCTGAAGTGCAAGGTGAGTTACATCTACTGGACTCACTACGTTGAACTCGTTCAGGCCGTCGCCGTCCCCGAGCCGTACATCAACTGGCGTCTGAACTGGGGCCCCGTTTGCGAGCCCCCACGTTGTGTCCAAACTTCCGAGGGTGGAGTTGGTGTGCTGACCGTCCAGGATGCTCAGTACGTTTTTTGGCATGAAAGTTGAGCGGAGTTCTCAGAACTCGTGGGTACCCACGGTCTGGTACCATATAGCCGGACAACTTAAAATACTTTTTTAGGCCACTCGACCAGGGAGCGTACACCTGCGAGGCCATCAACGTCAAGGGACGCGTATTGGCCACTCCCGATTGCATCGTCCAAGTTGGAGATGGAGACGTTCAGCCCCCACCGCCACCACCGCCACCACCAAGGTAAGGGTACAGGGTCTGCAACTTAGGACTGTACCTCTGCATACGTCCATAGTACTGGAACGTGCGAATTTTTCGAAAAAAGGGTGATCTTGGAAGCGATCCGAAATTTTTTTATGACATTTCAGATACTTTTTTACTTGTGGATACGGTAGCGCTATTTTTTAAGAAACGACAGTGAAATACGTTTATTGTACTGCTACGTACGGTTTTCCATAAAAATTCGGGAGTCGCGGCGGGAAGCAAGAGTTTTTTAGTTTTTTTACGGTACGATACGGCGTATAGAGTATTGAAACCTAGCGTCCTTAGTACAGCTACGTACAAATTTTATTAGAAGTTCGATTTTATAACAAATTTGACATGTTTTTAGATAGATTTTGACTATTAACACTAAAAACTACTTGCTAAATGAGAATCCGCATTTAATGTTTCCCTCAAAATCGTCCATCTTTTAGCGAGTTCCCCCAAGAAATCCCGAACACCCTAGATGAAAGGTATACATCATCCCCAATTCATTAATTCGCATTAAACCGATCTCGATTCGGCATGAAAATTACGATACGCTACTATGAACATGTTTTTAAGAACCACCACAACAACCACCCACAGACCCCCACCACCACCTCCACCGTGAGTAGAGTGGTGCGAAAAGTCGATTGAAAAAAAAATCGAAAATCCCACTTCTACAGAATAACCCAGTTTAATACCCTGGTTATATCGAATTAATTCCACTGTCTTTACCTCTTAATTCTACTATTTATGCTCTATTAAAAAATCTAAAATTATGACAATTAGCATCTATTATTCGTATTTTAGCTATTTGGAGCTATTAAATTGTATATATTAATCCAAAAACTATTAAAATGAATTAAATGTATCCAAATTTTAGGTAATTAAAGCCATTTATTGAATTTAATGCCGTAATTTAGCTATAATGTTTCGAGAGTGTATCCACCGACGTAAGTAAAAACATTCATTTCGTGTTTTCAATTTTTTAAACTATTTTTATTCAATTTTTAAATATTTGAATTTGCAATTTTTTGAGCTTTGTTTTGATTTACAAAGAGCCATCTTTTTTAGCCTTAAAAAGAGACAACGAAAAACTAGAGAAACGAGAATCGAGCGACAGTAAGAAATTTTTAGATTATTTTTATTTCTGATTTTTGTAGCTATTTTTCCATTATCTTTGAAATTTTAGAGTTCCCGCCGGTCGGGAATCTTGGTACCAACCACGCCACCGGTGCGTGAAAATAGTCGTCAATTGTTTTTATAGATTTTTTATAAAAATTTTTAACCCTTTCCGCAAGCCCCTTTCCGGCTAACCTTTAAAATTGCATTTTCTCCAATTTTGCTTATATTTTTAGCCCTACGACCACACCAAGATATAATCCGCCACCGCCGTAAGTGTAGCGTGATGCATGATGCCTTAAATATATCGAATTTAATAGGATTTAAACTGCCATTTATAGCCCTCCAATTACCCCGCCACCATACGTTCCACCAACGTAAGGGCGGCTCGAAATTCTTCTAAAATTACTAATTTTCCAAATCCTTTTTTCGTATTAACCTAGTATAACTCTATATATAAAATACAAAATATAAATATATAAAATTAATCAATAAAAATTCGAAAACATTAACATCCTCTTATTTTTTGATGGTTTAACAAATTTTTTACACTTTTAAGAAACCTATTCCGATACCTGTTAGCTTAAGCTAACTCTATTACTGTCTAAACTTTATGTATGAAACTCCTAAATAATATAATAATGTTTAAATACCTTTTAAAAGTCTAATCGCTTTAAGACGATCCGCGATACCTTTACCTCAAAATAATTCCCCGCATCACATGAATTATTCCATAGCAACTTCTACGGTCTTCTATACCGCTCCCCCGACTATACCACTGACATTTCGAGCCATATTTGTCATTTTTGAGATTTAACTATTCAAATTTAGGCCCCAAGTCCAGTGCGACGTACGCGGCTCCGTCCAATCGTACCAGCAGGAACGCTGCGAGTGCAAGGTTCGTTTTATAGCAATTTTAAAGGGACCAGCAAGGCATAGCTATTTGTTTTTGATAGAGATTGGCGGTTTTTAAAGCATAAAGAAACGGGGCTTAAACTTGTAAATTGTTTCTATTACCGACCGTACCTCTTTGCAGCCGCTCGTGACGGGACCCCGTTGTGACCAATGCCAGCCCGGCTCATTCCACCTCTCCGAGAAGGCCCCGCAGGGATGCATCAAGTGCTTCTGCTTCGGCGTCACCAACCAGTGCCAGAGCTCCAGCCTCTACCGCACCAAGGTTAGTGATTTATTTCTGAGTTTTTAACTTGTACTCTACGTGTACGATGTACTCTGTAGCCTTGTGGAATTGTCGAAACGCTTCCGGGCTTGTAGGCGTATAGCGTATGCTTAAAGTAGGCTTAGGCTTGTGCCTGTACTTAGGATCGTCTTAGGATCAAGCTCATGCTCATACCATCCGATAAAAAAATATTCAGTTGTCTTAATTTATCTAAAAAAATTAGTTTGGCTCATTTTCGAGAAATTAAGCATTAATGAAGAATTGGTTTTTTGCTTGTTTTACTAAAACAATAGTATTTGACAACTGAACCCTATTTTATATAGTTTGCAAAAAAGCTTTTTTATAAGTTCATTACATAATATAAAAATTGCCAATCCTATATGCTAGTCATTAATGTTTATTTGTCCCGTTTCAGGAAGCTGAATGTGTAAGTGTCCACAACAACTCCTAAAAACTTGTCCGGTCAAGTGTACTCTTGCCTGCCAAAACCCCTCGCTTTTTCCCTCTATACCGCTCATCCCAGCTTCAATGGTCCTATAAAAGTCATACTCTCAAAGCGTTACATTACCTGCTTGTCGTTAACCATGTAATCTACCCCTCAATACCCTAAAAACCCTCCAAAACCTCGCTAAAATCTCAATAAAATTGCTCGAAACCCCTGGCGTCAATGCATGTTCCTGCTTGTTACCCTCATGACAATGCTACGTCTCTTTAAAAAACCTGCTGAATTCCAGGAAGAGCTGCTGTTCGCTGGAGACGCAGAGGGTGTTACCATTTCGGATATTGAGGAGCGAAACATTGACTATCATCCGCAGTTCGAGTTCAGGTAGAGCGAGAGAGAGAGGGAGAGAGTGAGAGAGAAAGAGAGAGAGAGAGAAAGAAAAACACAGAAATAGAGAGACAGAGAAAGCTATATATCAGACCCCCCAAACCTTCATTTTCTAGCCGCCCCGGCTTCCTCACCTACAACGAGCAGTGCCACGAAAAGTACTGGCGCCTCCCGCAGCGATTCCTCGGCAACAAGGTCACCGCCTACGGTGGAAAGATGGAGTTCGAGATCGACTACCAGGGCACCGGAACGTTCACCCCCGACCCGATGAGGGTCGTGCTCAAGGGCAACCAGATCATCCTCGTGCACCGTGTTCGTGATCAGGAGCACCGACTACAAGCTGGACGCCCGGCTAGGATTACTATTGAGACGTAAGGAGGTGAGTTGGATATTTTTTGGCGGTTGGTTTATGACTGCCGGTACCTTTAAAGCGAGAGGGAGAGCGAGATAGAGAGAGAGCGATAGAGAGAGAGAGCGAGAGAAGAGAGAGAATGAGAGAGAGCGGGATATATAAAAGAGCGAGAGAGAAAGAGCTAGCGAGAGAGATACATGACGAGACGGAGAGTGCGAGAGAACAAGAGAGAATGAGTGAGATAACGAGAGAGAGAGAGAGAGAGAGAGAGAGATGGAGAGGCAATGAGCGACAGTGGGAGAGAATGAGAGCCAGTGAGCGAGAGAGAAAAGAAGGATAAAAGGAGAGATCATAGCTTTCAACTTATCCAATCTTTTTCTATAGAGCAACTGGGAGCAACTCAACGGCGCCCCGGCCACCCGTGAGGATCTGATGATGGTGCTGAGCTGATTTTGACGGGTTCCTCATCCGCGCCCACCACGTCGAGGAGCAGGAATCCACCAGGTTGGCTATTTTTTTCCTTAAAAACACGTTATTTACAAAATCCACGGCTAAAAGCAGTAATATGGAATAACAGGCAATAATTTATCCAAACTCAATCAGATCACAATTTACAGCAGTTAAGAAAACACTGAGTATTTTCGAAGAAAGCTCACGAATCTTTATGGACCCGTAGTAATGCAGTTGCTCTTCAAAAAAAAAATGGAAAATCTACATGGAAAAACCTAAAAACATGTAAATTTTTGGCGGGCATGGGCCTAGGATCTAGCACAAACAAAAAAAATTAAATGAGCAAAAATTTGGATTCAAAATTCGGAAAAAATCCAATTTTTATAGGTTGATTTGCTAGGCTTTTCGGAGATTAATGCATATCTTGCGGCTTAAAGTCGTCTTGGAAATTCAGCTTATCAAGGGCGGTAAGCGGCATTAAGCAGACACTGCGCCAGGGCCAATATAAAGTGCTTCCCGCGCGATGAGCTTCATCTCGCGCTTCGTGCACTTCTTCTCACGTCCATGATATGGGCGCTAGAATCGAGAGGTTGTGCGCAATTTGGAATCCACGTACTTGTACTGCTCGATCAGCTTTCCGCCAGTCCAAACCACGTGCCGGTGATTTTCTTTGGCCGGAAGGTTTCCAGGTTACCTAAAAATTTGGAGCTCAGTTTTTTTAAGTTTAAAGCGGCTGGGAAGCGCGAAAATCTACCCTTTCTGTCCACTAGGTCTAGACAGCTAAAAGCTTCGACAACGTTGTCGATAACGTGAAAAGCTCAATTTATTTTAGTGATTTTGGTCGTCTTTATCGTATTTCTATTTTGTCGAGACCTAGTCGAAAAAGGGTCGATTCTCACGCTTCCCGGGAGCTTTAAGAGGCCTTAGAAGACAACGTTACGAATTCTTTTGCTACGTTAGCTTACTACGCTTTACTGTGGCATTTCACCAACCTTTCCGACTTTCTTGATCGAAACCGAGGCCTGCTTGAAAAGGCCGGCCCGCTTCTTCTTGTTCCCATAGCTCTTCGTCGTGTAGACCCCGATAAACGAGCTCTCGGGATTTGCTCGTTGTTTTTCTCGATGCCCTCTAAATTTGTTGGCCTAAAAGTCAGATTCCCAAACCGATAATGCCCTCCAGTAGCTCCTCAAGTCGCATCGATTCCCGGCGGATCAGGTTAAAGTCGGGGGGCTCTAAAGGTAGTTAATAATTAATGAATTCCCTAAATATAAGGCTTAGCTTCGGCTTAGGCTTAGAAGCTTAGGGTGGGGCTTAGCTGGCTTAGGTTTAGCTTGACCTACGGCATAGGCTTAGCTTTGGCTTTGCTTAGGTTTTAGACGTCGGTTTCAGCTTAGACTTAGCTTATGCTTAGGTTAAGTTTAGCCTAGCCTAGAATTGGCTTAGGCTTGCTTGGGCTTTCTCTCCTTGCTGTCACGCTCCCTTTAAAGCCCCCCTCCCCCACCTCTCGACGACATATGCCCATTTTGCAACTCCATCAACCGTAGTGAGCGGGCCAGCCACGCGTGACAGACGTGATCGCAAAAGTTCGGGTTCTAAAATAGACATATTCCCTCGGACTTAAGGACTTTTCTGGATTTCGGGGGATGAGCTATGGTTGGCCGTCCGAAGGGCCAGATGATGGATTAAGCCCACCGCCGGCTGGTCCTTCCCCAAAATCCCAAAATCCGGAAAGTGCGTACCCGCTGGATGACATTCTTCCACAGCTCGGGCAGCTCCATTTCGAAGGGCGTCATGAATACGATTTTCTCCCTGGGGGTAGTAGCAGTAAATTCTGGGCGTTGGACTGGCTTACCGTAACCGCTCCGAGTGCAAATTTCGATGGCGGTAGGGGGAGAGGCAGATGTAGCATGTTGTAGATTTGAATGGGGCGAACATCTGTAACTTATCAAATTTGGTCACAAGATTGGAAGGTTTAGATTTGTCTTTCCCGAAGCGGTACAGAGACAGAGAGAGGGGTGAGAGAGAGAAAAAGCGAGAGAGAGAGAGAGAGAAAGAGGAGAGAGTGGGAGAGATCCTTGCTTTCCAAGGACACAAAACAAAGGCCAAATGGAACTTTACGAATTTTTCTGTGTCCCAAGTGACCCCTAATTTTGCAAATTCAAGACTGTAAATCGTATTTTCTCGAGGCTATATTTCTGACATTTACGGCGAAGTGGGGGACCGAAAATGGTCGTATCAGGCTCATTGTTTTCGAAAACGGGGTAGCTGACTATTCGAAGGTGAGTGGGGCATAAACAGGCTAAATATGACAAAACAGCATAGAGAAAACCTCAAAAATTTTCGCTGAATTTTTCTTAAATCCCAGCTGTCACACCACCTGTAAAACACCCGTAAAAAGTCACGAAAATGTTCTCTGGAGCTCAGCCAAAAATTCTGACAATTTCTGAGCGTCTGGCGCGAACAGTAGAACCAGTAAAAAAAAGCAGGCCGGAAGCCCCAATTAGCCGAACGACGTACCAAGCACCTGCCTTCCAAAAGAACCGGTCAGATGAAGCTGACGAGCCTAATTACGGGGCCGATTGGATGGAGAGATGGAGAATGGGGCCCCCAAAAAGACCTCAGAAATCCATTTATTTTGGCGCTGCTCTGGGCTCAAGAGGTCGGAGGAATGTGCCCTCACAACAAGACCAATAGCTCAGGTGCCGCCCGCTTGAATTTAATCAGAAATTCTGAGGCCGGCGGACGGGGTGGGACCTAGACGGGTGGGATCGCATTGTGTTAAGGTGGCGCCAGACGTACTTATATGTAAAAGAGGAGAAAGATCTCGAGCTTTGGCTAAGCGTGGGAGCAAGCTGGGGACCTACCTCTGGGCGTAATGTTGCTCTGAAAAAAATTCTCGTATGAATTCTTGACGAAACTTGACCATTGTGTCAGATTTTTCATAACTCGCGACGACGCAAGACGCGCCAACCCCATTCTAATGCGTAATGCATTGCCCTTGAGGGAGTAAATAACGTACGCGTCGTGTGTCGCGGTGTCGGGCCGGAAGGAGCCAAAAAATCAGAAAATACTTAACGCATTTCTTTAAAAATTTATTGAATTTTTGTATTATTTGATGACGAATAACTAGAAAACGACCGCAAGGCCGACAGCAACGGTCTTTCGTAGCGTAACGTAGCCTAGCATAACGTAACGCAACGTCGCGCAACGTAACTCAACCCTAGCGCAACGTAACGCAAGATAGCGTAAAGTAACGTAGCGTAGCGTCTCGTGTATTGTGCGTTCGTGCGTTACCTAGCTGGAAGGTAAGTTAACAAACGCAACGTAGCGGCAAGATAAGTAAAGCAATTTTAAGGGAGAGTAACATGTTGAATCAGTCAGAAATTTCAACTCAACAATAAAATCTAAGGGGATCTTTCGGTACTAGTTAAGGGATCACGTTTGATAAGCATTAATCAAAGATTTGAGACGTTATATCGTTTATTTCCACTAAACAAGCTTTTTAGCATGGCACAGACGCTAAAAATAGCAAAATTATTGTAGTTAGAGCATTAAATCTGATTATATATCTTATTACAATTATAATAATCTTATTATCCAAACTTGGAATGTCGTGATTTTTTCGATACATAAATTAGTCGGCTCACCTTTTCTTCGCTTCCTCAGGCCATCCGTTTCATTGGTCCACGTAAAAAGTGGGACCACGTAGGAACGTGCAGCCTATAAAATCGAGATCTTGGTATATAAATTTCGTAGATATGATGTATTTGTGTGTGTATCTGGAGGTGGGCGGGCCTCTTACCTTCACTCAACTTCTTATTTCCTCAGCTGAAAAAGGAAAAAAGAAGAGAAGAAGAAGAAGGTGGAATGGTTGCCCCGGGACTTCCATGTAGGGAATAGAGAGGCCCTCCCCATTCCCTCTACCCTCCTGGCCTCTACACACCTATTAACGGATAGAGAGAAGGGAATGGACTGCAAACGGACAGCAAGACAGACAAGACAGACAGATGAAATTCACAACTCGTGAGGAGAACCCATCAATTAGTAAATTGCCATGGGAAATTGGGGGGTTTGGAGGTGGCTGCCGAGGCTCACATCACTTTGTGAGTGCCCCGGGAAATCGCGGAGACTACAGACGACTCCAAAATTTTGGATCTGCAGGGAGGGGAAGCGAAAAGCAAAAAAATGTAAGGGGA